TGATTCCAATTTTCGTATTATTTCTAAAAATTATCCAAATAATCCGGATCAAGTTGACATCACTTATGGGTATCGAAATGTTTCATAATTTGATTAAAAATTTTAGAATCAATTTGATAAATTGAAATTACTAAAAAAAATCGAATTTCTAATCACTTAAAAAAAATTAATTTATCCCTTTGAAAGTACGGACAATTTCTGAAGAATCATTCATATATAATTATACATACACGCGCGTTGATAATTCTTTTAAAAGTGGAAATAAAAATAAAAAACAAAGTTGAAAGTAGAAGAAGTGAGAAAATAAAATTCAACTAATTGCTGAAGATGAGAATTGGGCACGAGACTAATCGCACATTTATTGCACATTAAATCGCCTCAGGTTATACTATAGACCATTATTCACAATTGTCACTTTTACACATTTTACAATGTCATGTTGTAAAATTTGTTACTTTTTAAATGATTTATCAATGTTATTAATTATACATAGAATTATAAAAGTGGTATTAATTTCTTGAGCCAAAAATTTAATCAATTTTTGTTGTGATAATAAATAGTAAAATAAAAAATTTCATATATATATATAAAAAGATAAAATTTTCTTGTCAAGGTGATATATATACTCATAGAAAAAACCTCGACTCATTTTTGTTGCGTATCATTTATAGAGACAAACAATAAAAAAAAAGGTTACGGGTTGACAGATAGGGGTATTTTTTGCCCTATGTATTTCAATGGTGATGATTTTTTTATAAACTTGTGAAAAGAATTGCGGATTTTATGTAGCACACGTATATATAAAATAATTATAAGTCTACATAAAAAAACTTGAACTCATTTTGTGTTGGATATCGAATTGAGTAAGCGAAAAACTTGAAGTTATTCAAAATGATACTAGTCAGGAATTTCAAATTTCTAGGTTATCATCATTTGTAGATTGTGAATGGCAATTATTTTTTCTAATACTTTAACAATATCAGAAAGATTTTCTTTATCAGTACGAATAATAATAAAAATAACAAAAATAATAATAATTATATAATAATTGATTTCATAAGTTTTGAAATTTAGATTGGTTTCCATTGTCCCCACTCGCCATTTGTCATAATTCTCGTCAACTACCTAGTGAAAATTTAGTGTTAAAATTAAATGTTACTATTGGGAACGGTGGTCTAGTAACAATCTAGTAACTTTGACCAATTCTCTCCCTCCATTTTGTTTTTTCTACTCTTTCTAACCTATTAATTGAAGAGAGACAAAGAAAGAAAATGGAGGGAGAGAATGGGTCCCCACCAGATGGCGTATTGCAGTTTAAACGATCCCAATAAAGTTACTAAATTTTCACTAGAGCAGGATGCGGTAGTTAAAGAGATTTATGACAAATAGAAAGTGGGGATTTTGGCTAGTGGGTACAATGGAAACCAACCTTTAGCGCTATTATTTAAGTTGGCAGTACTGTTTCTGGTGTCAAAATATTTTTTCATTTTTCTAACCTAAAAACATATTTTACTTTATTTACGCATTTACAAGCAGTTTTCAATTTTATATTTAGGACAAATTTTACTTGAATAAGTAGGGGAACAGTGTCAGGGTTGAACACTTGGCTTTTTTTAAATAAGAACACTAGCGCCACCTGTGTGCGTACATGACGAATCTTCTAGTAGTGTAACCTTACTTTTTGTGGCATTACATTTTTGGAGAATCAAAAGTAGCGTCTCCTGTGACTTCGGTGCAATCGAAGAGACAAAAAAAGTTTTGTTTGACTTGTGAATAAACCTAAAAAATGTGTAAAAAAAGCAAGAATTCGGCAAGGTAAGCTTATTGAATGTATTGTGGGGTACATAATTTAAGAAGAAAAAAAGTGAAAAATCGAATCGCGACACATGTCTGGTTATGGTTAGCACAATTCGAAAATGATGCTTCTAGTTAGGATTGGACACTTTATACAGTTATAGTTGAACACCCATATTAATTATGAATTTGACACAATTTATAAATAAATTTTATTTTATTGATATTTCAGTGCAAAATTGTGCCAAAGATATTAGAAAAATAATACTTAAATTGTATAAATTTTGTTCATCATTTCATTGAGTTATTTGGAACAATAAAGCGTTATTTTTTGTAATTTGAGTTCAATCCTTTTTTAAACCCATGAAGCTTTACAATTTGTAAACAATAAGAAAAGATAAACATGAAAAAATAAGAATAAAAAACATTACAAATGTTATTTTACGTTTTTACCAATAATGCGTTTCGATTTTCAAAAAGTGTCCAACCCTGACTGAACAGTCCAACCCTGACTAGATTTTTTTTTTAATGTTTATAACTTTTTTAATTTTGGACCAATCAATTTACGGTCCACAACAAAAGTCTTCCTCTTTTGTAGATCTTTCCACCCATATACCACAATTGACTGAATTTATCTAAACAAAATATTTATAAACAAAAAACTAAAACTGTGTCCAACCCTGACACTATTCCCCTACCCAGTGTGCACGTTATGTAACTGTTCTAGAACAAAAAGTGTAACTTGTTTTAGAACAAGTGTTACAAATTTGTTATAGAACAGTTCTGGAACTGTGTTCTAGACATGTTCTGCAACAGTTGTTCCGTCTCTGTTCTATAAGGAAGATAACATTTGTTCTAGAACATTTGTGCTTAATTAGTTTTAGAATTTTTAAGTAACGTTGTTACTGTACCGTTCTAGAACAGGGTTACAAAAATGTAACATTATAGTTCTAGCACTGTATTTTATATTTGTTCTCTATCTGTTCTGAAACAAATGTGTAAAGAATAGCTGTTTTATAAATGTGGTGTTACTAGAGTGGTTCAAGACTGTCTAAAATAGAAATCAAAGAAAAATTAACCAACTATGATATTGAGGGAATATTTCTCTAATCCTGAGGGAATGTTCCACTGAAATAGTTTTTCTTTATTATTATGAAAATTGAGAAAAAATGCACTATTTTATTTTTATCACTATTATTTTATTTTCGAATCTATAAAAATATTTAAAAAATAATTTTCGTGAAATATTCCCTTAATATCACTGGAATATTCTCCCAATATTACAGAGATATCATCATGAAGCGGACATTTTGATCTCCACTGTATATCACCAGGAATATTCTAAAAAATATTCCAATAATATTTATGTGACATATAGTGCTATTTGGGCACGGTCACTTTTTTTAAGTCAGGGAAATTTTACTTAAATAAACTACAAATTACAAATCATAATTTTACTTTTATTAAAACTGATACAAAAAAAAGTTCTGTAATTCTAGAATATTGCTATAGATCGGTTACAAAATTGTTATAGAATTAAAATTTTTAAAAATTTATTTTGTTATCAAATTTTTACATATTTGTTCTAGAACAATGATCTAGAACGCATTGTTCTGGAATTGTTACAGATCTTGTTACAGTTTTATGCCCACAGGGGGGCGACATTTTTACTGAGCTATTCCTCACCAGTTCTAGAACTTATTCATTTTTGTTATAGAACAGTTACACAACTGTTCTGTAACTTTGCACACTGGGTAGTAAAGAAAAAATTATTTTTTCAAGCCTAAATCGCGCAAAATCAATTTCTTCGCATTTACCTAATTATCGGCGTTTGCATTTTCCTACAAATTCTGTGACCAAATTGCATTTTCTTCATTATTTAATATTCAGAGTCAGATTTGATAAAGCCAGCGGAATGGCATAAAACATAATTTCCGTTTGGATTCTCTCTTTCTCTTTCTTTATATATGAACCAGCCTTCTGGGCCAATGGTTGATTTTCTTCTTTTTTTCATTTATTTATCTTTCACCCCATTAGCCGTGAATTTATACGACCACCTTCTGCCAGATTCCTTTCATCCGCTAACTCAATGGGTGTTCCAAAAATGTTTATCGACAAGTACAATAAAAATAATTTATATATCATTCTTGTCCCAAAATATTTGCATATTCATTTATATATTATTTATCGAATTTGATTCAATTCTTTTTCCTAGTAAAGACTTCTGTGTTCTCTGAATGCAAATCATGTATAGATAATAAAATAAATTTATAAAAAAAATTTTTTTTAATTCAGTTTGAGAATTTTTTTTTTTTAAATATAATTGTGACACGTTCTGAAGAAAGGGACCTAAGAAGTAAACGAAAATTTCACCTTGATTAAAAGTTTCTATTTATTTATGTAAAATCAAAATTAGTTTTTATTGATTATTTTTAATGAATTGAAGATTTAAATATTAATAATTTGTATATTGAAAGTTCATCCTTTTTTTGTATTTTACTATTTTCACTTAAAAATTTCAAAACATAACCTATAACTTGTTGCTTCTTATGTCCCTTTCTTCAGAGCGCGTCAAATTAAAAAAAATATATATGAAAATAATAATGTTAACATAAGAAATGTTTTGTAGTTGTGAAAATAATTTTCTAGCGATTAAAATGATACTGCGTAAATTACACGCTGAGCATCTGTAGATTATGTTTATTAATAAGGGGCGGCTACTTTGAAGCATAATTTGATGTACCCTTGCGTGACGAAAGCGTTAGCCTAATTTGATTATGAGCTCACTTCATCCGTGGCCAAATGAAATAACAATGTTATAAATTTTCCTTAAAACATCCTATTGAGATTAATACTTTTTTTTTTATTAAAATACTTTTTATTGTTTAAATTTTTGTATCTTTCGTTAAAATAACTTTAATCTAATAATTCAAAAACAGTAATGATTATTATTATTATTATATCCAATATAATTGTGACTGTTCTACTATAAAATGAATTGATTAATTATTTTTCAATCAAATTTTTAAATAAAAAATTATAAAACTGAACTCTAACTGAATTACAGATTTTAATAAATGTTAAAAAAAAATACTATAAATAAGTCATTAAATTTTTTATTAAACATTTTATTTTCAATATATATATATACAAAAGAGACAAAATTTTCTATCATTCAAAAATATATATTCCATCATTGCGGTTATTATTCAGTATAAATTATGAAATTGTACACCGAGGGGGAATTTACTAGTTAAAAACGTGTACACTTGACTACCGGTATTACACCTCATATTACCTTTATTACTAAGTTATTACACGTTATTACAGAGTATTACACATTATTACAGAGATATTACAGAGTTTTTTGCGTTATTACAGCACCGTAATAACGCATTATTACACGGTATTACACATTATTACACAAGTATTACAGGAAGAGTGTACACTTGACTACCTGAGTAAATTCCCCCTCGTTGTACACATTTCCTTGAGACCTAGATTTCTTGTTCTTTTGGACCAAATTTCTTTTTCACTTGACTTCTTCATAAATTATGCGAGATCGAATCCACATTTCTCCGACATTTTTTTTTTTTTTTTTTTTTTGTTCTTCCACGGACCAGCCCAGAGCGACAATGTGTACTTCAATTGCAACCGCAGTCAGGTGCCACAGTGGTTCTTAATGGGTACCTCTCTTTTTTTTCTTTCTCTTTCTCTCTCGCATTTCCAGCCCAATTCCGAGAGACGAAGGAACGATCACGATCTATGTCGGTCGAGGAGGATCTGCAGCCTTAATTCACCTACATTCGCCATTCCAAGAGACTCCAAAATCACCATCCGTGAATTTTCAGTCAATAAATATATGTGTATATATATATATACCAAATCGTTGTCGTTATATATAGGCTTGAACAGAAAAATATTATTTTTTCAATTTTCACTTTCTGATATAATTATTGTCCACGAGAAATAAAGAAGGGTGTACGAATATATCGCGATTGATGAAAATCAATTTTAAATTTCATTTTTTTTTGGTTGCAGTTAATATTCACAGGAAGGTATTAAAATTTTATCCTAAAATTTGGATCAAATTATGCAATGTTTTGATACCCATACGGTTCAACTTGATCTGCATTCCTACTTGGAAAGATTCCCCGGAAAGTGCCCCCTGGTGGTTCTATCAGAATTCCGCCGGAACTTCCAACGTAATTCCGTTGGAATTCCATCAGAGTTCCAAAGAATTTCCTATGGGATTCCGACGGAATTCTGACGCAATTTTTTCCAACAATTTTTTTTCAAAATTTTTAGAGTCCTAATTCCGTCGGAATCCCATCGGAAATTCTTTGGAACTCTGATGGAATTACGTTGGAAGTCTATCGGAAATTCTTTGGAACTCCGATGGAATTCCGATGGAATTACGTTGGAAGTTCCGGCGGAATTCTGATAGAACCTCCAGGGGTTCCATCGGAAATTCTTTGGAACTCCGATGGAATTGCGACGGAATTACGTTGGAAGTCTATCGGAAATTCTTTGGAACTCCGATGGAATTATGATAGAACCTCCAGGGGGAACTTTCCGGGGAATCTTTCCAAGTGGGTTATTTGGATCATTTTTTGATAACTAAAATTGGTATCAAAGTACAACTGACATGGACCTTTTTCGGGTGGGTTTTTATAAAGATATTTAAACACCTGGTTGGTTTCCATTGTCCCCATTCGCCATTTGTCATAATTCTCATCATTCTCGTCAATTATCGCATCCTGCTCTAGTAATTTATTAACTTTATAGTAACTTTTAATTTTAACAATAAAATCACTAAAGTTTCACTAGAGCAGGGTGAGGTAGTTGACGAGAATTATGACAAATGGCGAGTGAGAACTTTGGCGAGTGGGGACAATGGAAACCACCAACCAGCTTACTAGTTTTCGATATACCGAAAAAAACAGATGCTATTTTTTGGCGGAGAATTTAAAATTGGATTTTAAATATTTCTGAAAAGTACAATGGTATGAAGAATAAATGATACATAAATTATACTTGTAATATAAAATAAACTTAAAAATTAATTTATTTTCCATATCATTGTATTTTTCAGAAATATTCAAAACCTAATTTTAAACTCTCCCGTCAAAAAGTAGCATCTATTTTTTTTTTGGGATTCTAAAACCTGTGAGGTATGTAAACGCCTTTAACCCCTTGACAGTCCAGGGCCCATATGTGGCCAAAAAAAGTCGTGCCACCTTTGTGCAAGTGGCCATATATGGCCACCGCAAAAATATAATACTAAATTTAATTTGATTCGACTGAAATTTGTTACTCGGGGGTTTTTGGGGTCGCTGAATCAAAATTTAAAGTCAGATTTCAAAAAAACAAAATGGCGGACCCAAAATGGCGACCATGAAAACTTAAAATTTATCAGATTTACATGAAACTTGTTGCTCAGGGGTTTTCGGGGTCGCTAAATTTGAATCTGAGGTCGGTTTTTCAAAATTCAAAATGGCGGATCCAATATGGCAACCCAATATGGCGGATAATTTAAAAATTAATGCGTTTTGACCACAATTTGTTACTCGGGGGTTTTTGGGGTCGCTGAATTCGAATTTGAGGTCGGTTTTTTGAAATTCAAAATGGCGGATCTAATATGGCGGACAAATTTTTAAAAAATCAATCCGATTTGCCTGAAATTTGTTACTCGGAGTTTTTTGGGGTCGCTGAATTCAAATTTGAGGTCAGTTTTTCAAAATTCAAAATGGCGGATCCAATATGTCGGACAAATATGGCAGACAATTTGAAAATTGATGTGTTTCCACCGAAAATCGTTTTTTAGAGATTTTTGGAATTTTCGAAATCAGCGACCCCAAAAACCCCCAAGTAACGATTTTCGGCCGAAACACATTACTTTTTACATTATTTAATATATTTGGTCACCAAATTTAATCCGCCATTTTGAATTTTAAAAAAACGACCTCAAATTCGAATTCAGCGACCTCAAAAACCCTTAAGTAACAAATTTCAGGCAAATCGGATCAATTTTTTTAAAATTTGTCCGCCATATTGGATCCGCCATTTTGAATTTTGAAAAACTGACCTTAAATTTGAATTTAGCGACCCCAAAAACCCCCGAGTAACAAATTTCAGGAAAATCGGATCAATTTTTTTAAAATTAGTCCGCCATATTGGATCCGCCATTTTGAATTTTGAAAAACTGACCTTAAATTCGAATTCAGCGACCACAAAAACCTTAAATATGATGAAGTCATATTTTTTTGGAAACTTTTTTTTCGGACCGTTTTAGGCCCACCAGCGATTTTTAACTGGACTGCGAAGGGGTTAAAAGACAGACTCCATAAATGCGTCACATTTTGGACGTTTTACTGTAAATTGTACTTAGTAATTTGCATTCTGAACTCTGGTGACTGCATGTTATCAAAAAATAAAATATAAAAATAAGATGTGCCTGAACGTTCAAATGAACGAAAAATTTATTTACTTGGGTTTTTACTTTCAAATTTTATTATTTCAAAAATGTATTAATAATTTATTAAATGTTTAAGATACTTTTTTATTTTTCATTGCTGTAGTAGTTTTTAAAAAATTTATAGACTAAAAAAATTATTTCGTTCATTTGAACGTTCGGAACTTAAGGCACATAAAAAGTTAAAATTGTACACCATTAAAATTAACACCATACTGAGTTATAATGTAAAAAATAATGTCAGTTCGTGACTACATATATATATATACATATTATTTAACTCGGAAGTAAGTTAACATTTCACTTTCATTTTTCAATAATGGTGTAAAATACCCAGTATGAAATTTAAAAGAAAAATCCTCGTCAATTTGAAAACGAAAAATTTTATCAAAATAAAAGTATTCGCCTCTATATATCTAATATTAAGAATGTTTTATTTCAATATGTACAGTTATGAAAATAGAGAAAAAATTGAAATAAATAATTTTCACTTACGTATTTTGCGTTAATGGGAAAAAGGATACTATATAGAGTCGAGTTCAACTCTCGAGCAACTTATCATTACAATGTCTCATTTTCCTATAGAATTACAGGTTTTTCAAGATTGGTTATTTCAGGAAAAAAATTCACAGACCTCCATCGTTGCAGGACAATATGATTAAATCGTGTGAGATTTTTCACACTACACCACCGATTTATTTTTATTTCATTGAAATTGAACTTAGAAATTTTAAATTAATACTAAAGAATCACTTAAGGGTATGTGGGAACCTCCCACGTGACCTAGTATGGGAAAATGTGTTTTGGTAGTATACATCTTATTCTAAAATGAAAAAAGATTTTTGTCTAAAATTTTGAGGGATAATAGATTTGGGTTCAAGGAATCTCGCTGTTCTCCGAAAAATACATAATTTTGAGTAAAATTATTAAAAAATGAAGTTTAAAAAGTGGCATTTTTAAACGAAAATGAAAACAAAGATGGTGGCGCATACACAGACGTTGCTTGAGTGTGTCAGTGCTCCAGTAAACAGCGCCAATTCGAGCGAGTGGCCGCTGAATAAACTATGATATAATACATTATTTTACTATTTATTGCTTTATTTTTATTATTTTTGCGTTAAGTTATGGTAAATGAGTAGAAGAGCGAGATTCCTTGTACCAAACAAAATCGACTTTGAGCCACGAAACCCAAAAAAAATAGGAAAAGAACTAGGCGCAATTGCGCCTACATCTAGGGTTTCGTGGCGCTTTAAATTTTAATGTCAACTACTGGGACATGTCAACTATAGGGACATGTCAATTACTGAGACAGGTCAACTACTGGGACATGTCAATTATAGGGGCATGTTAACTAATGGGACATGTAATGTCCATTCATGTAATGTCCATTCGGGAAAATGTCCATTCAGTAAATGGAGATTTGGGATCTGTGGGGGCCCAAAATTTGAATTTGGGAGCTATGGTGCCCCAAAATTTGAATTTGGGATCTGTGGTGCCCCAAAATTCGAATTTGGAAGCTACGTTTGCCCAAAATTTGAATTTGGGATCTGTGGTGCCCCAAAATTCGAATTTGGAAGCTATGTTTGCCCAAAATTCGAATTTGGGATCTGTGGTGCCCCAAAAGTTTAATTTGGGATCTGTGGGGCCCAAAAATTTTAATTTGGGATCTGTGGTGCCCCAAAATTTTAATTTGGGATCTGTGCCCTAAAATTTGATTTTGGGAGCTGTTGGCCCCAAAATATACTACGGACAGACGGACGCCAAAGTGAAACTATAAGGCTTTCGGCCATGGGCCACGAAACCCTAAAAAAGAACAAAATTCGAAAATGTCAAGGAAAAACACAAAGTCTGCGGAAGTCGGGGAAAATTATAATGAAAATTTTAATAACAACTCTGTAAAAGCAAAGAATTTTTTTCATCTTCTATAATGAGTTATTAATATTCAGCATCTTGAGTCAATAAAATAATATACAATTATTTATATATATTGAAATCAATAAATTTCCATTTCTTTGAAGGAAATAGAAAAAAAAATTGTAAAAGATAAATGATAATTAATACATGAAAATTGATTCAATTTCCTAATAATTCTCAATAGTTGAATTTACATACCAAAGTTCACGTATTTGTTATAATGTTTTTCCTCATGGTGTAGGTATATATATATATGTATAAAAGTGCATTATTATTATTTACATTTAACCCAAGTTGAACCGACCTCCTTATCACAAATATAATCATAATCATTAACAAGTTTCTCTTTTTGGGAAGCAGGCCGAGAGAGAAGAAAGGGGCGGATAAGTTAAACAACACCTTTTTACCTCAAATTGGATTGCAAGTGGTTTTCTGAACATCTTTGCATAAAATAAGGCAGCATTCTTGTTGTGTATGTGTGTGCACGGCAAACGGGTAATCATCGACTGAAATTTTAGTAATGAGGGAAGGATCGTTAATGTGTTCAAGATTTAGGGGAAAGTAATTTAGTCTACACTGCATGATTGCGTGCAAAAAAAAGCAGTCACGATTTCCCATTCACACATATATATATATATAAGTTTTTTTTCCTTTTTTAGTGAGCTAATATGTTGTACAAATATCAGAAAAAAAGACAAGCGAGAAAATAACTCACAGTAACACTCTATAATTGACCATTTTAGAATATATTTGCTGATATATGACTGTGGGAACTGATATACACCGTCAATCGAGACTATTATGGGGGTTGCGAAAATTGTAATTTTTTTTCTTTCTATTATAACCAAAATTCTAAACTTATAAAAAAAATATTTTCAACTTTTTAGTTATATGTATGTTATTGATATTCTTTTGACGATTTTGTTTCAGTTATATTAGAAAAAAAATTTTACTTTGTTTTTATTCATAAAATAAAGTAAAAAATTTTTTCTTCGAATTAAGCTGTATATGGAATCTTTTTAACAATAATTCTTTATTATAAGAACTTCATTACAATTAATGAATTTTTTGTAGCTTAGGAATGATTTTAAAAAATTTTAATTCATACATCCTCCACAGCACCGAAACTTTTCTAAAGATTTCCTAAAGATTTATTTGAAATGTACGGAATATTTTATTGCAATGTTTAGTGAAAATTGTGTAAAGATTTAAATGTCACACTTCAATAAATGTTTAGCGCGAAACTTTCTTAATTCACAGTTTTCCTAAAAGTATCAAATTGAGACTAAAAATTGCATCAAATCTTTGCAACGTTTTGATGCACATAAGTTATATATCAAAAAAGAGATAGTTTTGTGTATCATTTTTAGAAATGATACACGAAACGGTCTCATTTTTTGATGCAAAAAATTTAATCAATTTATATCAATCATGACCGAATTGAATCGACTCAAAATTAAACGAATTTTTTTCAGATATTTTGGTAATAGTACAATTGCGGAGACCATTTCACTATTTAATTTGAAAATGAAAATAACAGAAAATCAAAGACAATCCCTGCTAAAAATAAAATCACAAAACGTCAAAAAATTAGTCAGGATCTCTGACGTTTTGAGACTGTTTTTGTTACGATTGCAGTCACAGAACACCACAATAAGTGAGGTTTAGTCAAAGAATCGTCAATAGTAGTCAGATTTTTTATGAGGGTCGGAGACCCTTTTTTTTGCCATACCATAAATCATTAAACCCTGTGACTATTTGTGATGTTAAATGACATTTCTTTCTATAAAATAGTTTTGAAGATTCCTGACTTACTTCTCATGAATTCTGACTACAAATATTTAAAAATTAAAAAAAATCAATATTTTATCATTAAAAAAATAAATTATCGTACAACATTTTTTTATCTTTACGTTACACATTCTTAATTATTATTTTTACAATTTATTATATTTATTTACTCCTATCGAAGAAAATCTCGCAAACGCAGGGAATCGAACTCACAACCTAACGAACGCAAACCGAATACCTAACCCCTGAGCTAAACTAACCTAACTGAGATCTTAAAAATAGAATACGGTTTTATGAAAATAGAAGATCTTATTACTTTTTTTCAATTTTATCAACATATTTTGTTGATAATTATTATTATTATTTTTAAAAAATTTTATAATTTTTAAAAATTAACAAGTAAAGTTAAAATAGTAATAGGTATATTGTTATATTGATCAAAAAACATTTGTAGTCCAATTATCATATATTAATGTATTCAATTAATAAAATTTGCTTCAGCAAATATTTAATTAAACAAAAAATTCGTATGTAAATATTATTTGAATTCGAACTTAAAAGAATATGTGTAATATACAAATAAAATAGTCTAGAATAATAAGATACTGCCGGATTGTCTCAAGTAAACTCTGAGCGAATTTTATCAGGTTTTTCGCTCACGTTTTAGCACATTCATCACTATTATAATTAATTATAATGATAAGAATTAATTAATATGCATATATTAATTACTATATTATTAAAATTCAATTTAACATAATTCTTCCACAAATCAACTAAATAATTACTAATTTTAATTTCTCTTTTTAGCATACTGCACTATAATTAGATGTAATATTTGGTTCAAATCAAATTTATATTTAGTGGAAACTGGATCAAATTCGCTCAGAGATTGATTGAGCGATCAATTCATATATTCTATTTTACAAGAGACCAGAATGTTTTTGCTCATCTATAGTTGTAAAAAAATAAACTTTTATGTGAAATAGCCAGCGATTTCTAATTTTTTTCAAATATATATATATATAGAGTTAACACAATGGTAAGAATAGGTTTTCAACATATGTTGCTTTCTTATAACTAAATGTAAGGAAACTAGCTTACTGTAAAATAATAAATACAAATTTGAAGTAGGGACTTTAAAAGTATAGTCGTAGTCATTGACGCCTTCCCTTTTCTGTCCTTGTCTTACAAACTTGATTCCATATATATTATATGTACGTTAGAAAAGGACAAAAAGAAAAGTATAGGCCAGAAGGATCTTTTATGGTTTTATGGCTTTTCATTGCAAAATTAAAAATTGTTGCATTTGAAAAAAATGATTTTTAAATATTATATTCGTAATGTACATGTTAATACAATTACAACGATATAAAATTTTTTGCAAATATTTTTAAATTATTGAGAATTAATTTTAATTAATGGAGTATTTATTGTATAATCATTATGTAATTTTAGAGTTTTTACATAATGTTTTATATCATTGGAATCGTTAAAATCTATAAATTACAAATATAACATTTAAAAAAATATTTATTTAAATTTAAATAATTTTTTATTTTGCATTAAAATGTCATAAAACCTGATGGACCCTCGAAAGGACCCTTCTGTTGGAAAAAGGGAATATATAATATAATAGAGTTATATGGTGGGTTTGAGTGGCCTTGGTACCTCTCTTGGAACCCTTTTTATAAAAAAAATAAAACGTAGTGAGAAATCGTCACTTTTTAGAAAACGTCAGGCCCATAAAAACTATTTAAGTCAGAATTAGTCAGCAGCATCACAGAACATCAAAATAGTCTCAAAACGTCAGGATTTCTGACGTTTTGAGACTGATTTCTGATTTTATTTTTAGCAGGGATGTGCAATTCGATAATTAAAAAGTGACAGCTTATAAACAAACATAACCTAAAATGCATGAGAAAAAATTTGTCGATAAAATCAATAAAGCCGAGCTTTTTAGAAGGTAGATGGCAGCACTCATCTATTTTCTTTCTTTAAATTTTTTCTGAATCGTTTTTATAAAAAGCAAAACTGTCAAACTAACCTATTTTCCGTGAAACTCAACTTAAAAACTAAATTTCAACGTAAATAAAAAAAAAAATTTCATAAAATAATTGTCAAAAATGAATTGTACGGATATTAAAAGTCATTAATACGAAATATCAAATTTTTCTAAAAATAGGCTGCATGCAACGACTATAGGTGAAATAAAATGGAATGACCCTAGAAATAAATTAAAATTTTTAGCTGTCGTAAATAAAATTAAAATTTTCTCGAGATAGGTATACAGTTGAAAAATTTAAAAACAAAAAGTAAATTTTCCTCGTCTTGGAACGTAATATTTAAAGATAATTTTTGTTTAAACCGTTAAGAAAAAAGAAATGACTCTCAATAGAGAAAAAGTTAATTAATAAATTATTTAATTATGCATTTCTAACAAAATTTTTTCGTTTATAAATTTTTTCTGATTTCTAAAACCGAATTTACTATAATAACATTACAGTTACTTTGTTGCCCAAATGTAATAATTGCCCCTGGTGTACCAAAATAACACCGATTTATATTTGTGTCAAATTTTTTGTTTATCCGAAATAACAAAAAAAATCTAATCCCTCTGAAAAGTTTTACCAAAAATTATTTTCCCTTTCATTTTTTATTGAATTAAATATTAAAAAAATTAAAATTGATTCCAATTTTTTAAAGTATATAGATGCAAAATTTTAGTAAATTAAATTTAGATTTCTTAATTAAATGGTGGAAAATTTTCAAAAGTAAATGAAGTTTAAATATAAATTCTAATTAAAATTGAACTTGGAAATGTAGTATAAAAAAAATAACCATTTATTTTCTAGGTAAACTTGCTTTTTACAAAATTCAAGGAAATTAAAATTTAAAATAAAATTAATTAAAATTCCTCCTTTGGAAAATTAATTATCTTCGTTTTCCTGTATTTCACATGTTTTGTTAGTTAAGTTTTTCTAGCAATTGACTGTCAAGATTACTGGCGGAGGTGAAATTCGTATGCTTTCTTTTCCTCATTACTATATATATTGTAGCACATCTTCTTTTTCTCCTATTCTGAACACTCGGATGATTACTGCCTTTTTCTATTATATATATATATATATTTATTCCATCCTTTTATAATCTTTAAATAACAAATTATATATGTTTAGAAAACTATTATAAAAAATTTAAACACAAAAAATTGTATATAAAAAATAATTCATATAGGTACCTACTTTCAAAATGAAAAATATCAATTTAGAATTTATTCTTATTTGAAAAATAAAATAACATTAAATATTAAGAATAAATTTTAATTTTAAAAAATCCAAAAAAGTTAGAAAAGAAAAATATTTCCCTAGAATAATATCAAAATGTTTTTAATAATGAAGAAAAAATATTTTCCTCGTGGATAATAATAATAATTATTATTGGTAAAAACCTTTAAAAGCCATAAAACGTCTCTAGCGTTTTATATTTGCACACGTCTTTCATGTTTAAACTTAAAATTTACATATATAGGAAATGTTCAATTTCACTCCTTCAGGGAGAAAGTATACGTGTATGCAATTTAAATAAAATTTTATTCTAAGATCCGTCAATTAATCGTTAAAATTTACATTATTCAATGTGAACACACTTATAATGCTATATATATATATATAAATTTTCTTCCATGTAACACACTTTTTAATTTGGAGAATGGAAAACAAAAGAAAAGAAAAAATTATATAAGTAAAAGTGTCAAGTAATAAAATAGGAACAATATAATTAACTTAAAATCTCACAGCTTTCCACGTCACCCAGGGGGTACTGTGGCGGCACGCGTTCCCGTTATTTTACATGGCGGGTTCCCCAGGAGGCCTAAACCATGCCACACATAATATTTTCGTGTGGAAAATAAAAGTTATAATTTTCTTTTCTAACCAGTATTTTTTTTTTTTTTTATTTGTGCCGTTAAGAATTTTCTTTTTCCTTTCACAAATATTATTTTTATCTCTTTTTTCAAAAAAAAAATTTCTATGAAAATTATTTGTCATAGAAATTTTATAGATTATTTTACAATAATCAAAAAAAAAAAAATTGTTTGAAACAACCAAATTTTTATTGAATTAATCAAATAACTTATTGTTATATTTAACCAAACTATAATTAAACGTTTAATTAGATCAAATAAATAGTTATTTGAATTAAATAAATATTTATTTGAATCAAATAAATTTTGTTTGATATCACCGAAAAAAATGTATTAATACAAAAAATGGTATATTTGCTTCAAACAAAATTTCTTTCAGTGAGGTTTTTACGAATATATTTTTATTTCTTTTCCTCATAAATTTATGTAATAGCGTTTTATCCTTTTTTCCCCATAGATATATTTTTTTATATCTCGATTGAATAATAATAGTAATAATAATTTTTATCATCGCATTACAATAGTAAATGTTATCCTAGTAATAATAAAATGACAATATATGTCAAATAATTTGAAAAATAATTTTTATAATAACATTACATAAAATTTTAATAATTATTACTTAAATGCAGATAATTAAAAAATTATAGTAAATAAATTTTAACGTCTAAATTACTATATGAAAGTCCACAATAATTACATTGATTAATTATTTAGAACATATTTTAATAAACTCGGAATGTAAAATTTAATTATTATTTATTCTTTTGATTTTTTATTCTATTACATTTGGGGAGAAAAAATATTATTTATGTCGAAAGTTAAAAAGAAACATTAATTTATTTGTTTCAAATAATTATTTAGCTCTTAGATAAATATATATTTTTATTTAAAGGGAGAGACAAATGAAATTTTAACCATTATTGAAATTTTCATTGTTATTAGGCAACAATTTCTTTTCTAACTTTATTTAGGATCTAAAAATGTTTTACGTTATCAAAATTGAAAAAAAAATATTTTTTACCAATTTAGTTTTTTTTAAACTGAAAAATTTTTTAAATCCATACGATTGATTGGTTTAAAATTATAAGAAATGAGTGGGAAAAAAAATTGACGATGAAAAATATTCAAATTTTTAGAAAAAGTTCAATTTTAAAAGAAATTTACATTAGTCAACTTTTTTCTACATTATTTCGAATCTACAATCTTATTCAATTATGAAAAATTGAAGAAAAATAACTTTTCGTTTAACCTTTTTTTTAAAAATTCCATTTTATGAAAAAATTAAATTTTTTTAAAACCCATACGATTGATTGTTAAAAATAATTTTAAAAAAGTGTAAAAAAAAAAAATTATCAATGAAAAATATTGAAAATTGATGAGCCAAAAGTTTTGAAAGTTCGAATGAACGAAATTTTTTTTGCAACTTCTTTAAATACAAATTTTATTATAAAATATTTTGTTTTAAATATAGCAGAAAAAACGCTGGATGGAAAATTAAAGAAAAATAATTTTTGACGTTTTACATTTTTTTTAAAACATTTTTTTAGAAAGTTTATTTTTTGAAAAAATTAAATGTTTTTATAACCCATATACGATTGATTGTTCAGAATGATGAAAAAAGTGTTTTAGAAAATTGACGATGAAAAATATTGAAAATTGTGGAAGAAGTTCAGAATTTTAATTTTTCTTGAATTTTAATTTTTATTACAAACTTTCTTAAATAATAATTTTTTTCTAAATTTTCATAAGCTACCGCATCATTTTATATTCTTATTAAATTCAAATAATAAATTGACGCCTTAAATTAACAAAGATTTCAATACTTTTAAAATTTTCACTGGTACCCTTCCTTAATGTGAATAAATTTTTTATTCGAACCACTTTCTAAATTTGAATTAGTAAAAATTTTAACCAATTATTTGTATTAGTGACTCACTTTTTGCTTTCGAATTAGTAAAGTTTAACTAATTCATAATAAAAAAAAATTTACTGTCGCATTTAGTAAAATTTAATTTAATTCAAAAGTAAAAAATGAGTCACTAATTCAAATTAGTTCAAATTTTTACTAATTCAAATTTAAAGAGTGGTTCGAATAAAATTTTACTATCGAATTATAGTAAAATTTAACTAATTCAAAAGCAAAATGATTCAATTCAAGTTAATTAATTCAAATTAGTTAAAATTTTTACTATTTAAAATTTAGAGAGTACTTCGAATAAAAAATTCGTTCGAATAAAATTAACTAATTAATAATAAAAAAAAAATTGTTACTGTCAAATTGAATATATAAATTTAAAATATCAATTGAAGAAAATATTGATTTTCACCAAAAATAAAATTACAAGTTAAAAAATAAGGAATTAGCTAAAACAAATATTTTTTAATTATTATTTTTATTTCATTTTTATTTCTTATAAAAGAATTTCAATTTATTTTGATATTATATTTTAAGTAAAGTCTCACGAGGAAAAAACGTGGTTAAAAGGCTATTAGTTCTTGCGCATTCAACAAGTCCCTGAAGCATGTGCTCATATGAAAGATTCATTCATTAATTTCATGACTACAATACATTTACTGAGATACAAAATCTTTTTTCAAAAAAAGAACTTCAGTAAAATTTAGTTATTACAAAAAATTGCTCCTTTATTTTTTTTCACGCTTATTTTCGTAACATTTTTAAATATTCCATTGATGCAAAAACAGCCACGTGCTTCGCGCCAATTTACCGCTAACCCCAAAAATTCACGTTTCACTATTTAAATAAAAAATATCTTCTTTTTTATTATTCTTTCATGTATAGCACCTTACAATAGAGAACTTCTTTTTTTTTTTATATGTATCAAGTGTGAGGAAAATGCACCGTTTTTCGTTTTAAATTTATGTATACGTTTAAAATATAGAAAAGAAAAATAATATGTGACTGACATTTAAAATGAATAAGTTTATACTTATCACTTTTTTTATACCTTTAATATGATTAGTTATAACTTTAAAGTTATAACGAAAATAGGTGTTTTTTTTTGTTTTTTTTTCAATGGATTTTAAGTACCGGCAAATTTTAAAGATTTTCGTTCTCGAGAGATATTCGCGCTTAGTCCAGAATTACAGTGAGAAGTTACCACGGGAATCGGATCCTTTATATGGGAGAAAATATTGATTTTCACCATAAGAGTTAAAATGTTGCGCGCGCCTTTTACCCCGCCACTTATAAATGTTAAAAACAAAAATTTTTTTTTAAAGCCATGCAAAATTTGACAAAATTTAAAATAGAGAAAAAAAAATGTACCATCAATACTCCAGGGAAATATTTTATTTGAGACAAATAAAATTTATTTGAAGCAAAATAAAAAAATATATTTTTCTCAGAGCCTAATAACTTTTTATTTGTTTTAACCCTTAACTGGCACCATGGGTCCAGTAGACCCGAATATTAAGTTTTTTGATACAACTAATTCGATACAAAAGAATAAATTAACTTCAAACACTAATAATTATAAATTTTTAATTTTAACCTAAAAAGTCACATTTTATTCTGCAAAATAAATACCTTTTTTGCAAGTCCTGCTGCTGTGGTAATTTTTTCCTTAAAGAATAATACATCATAACTTTAAATTTTTAAGTCATATTATTAAAATTTAAATAACTCATGAATTTTTATGTAAAAACACGCAATTCTTTTGTTTTATTTTTCACAATTATTTTAACTAACTTAAAATAAATTAATCCCTGTAAAACTAATGAAATTTTAAAAAACACGTCATAAACTACCTCAGATTAAATTTTTGTGCAAAAATATTCAATACCGGCTGTACAATACACGTTTGAATACGTCGGGTCCAGCAGACCCGTTGTGCCATTTACGTTCGAAAGCAGAATTGTGCCAGTTAAGGGTTAAATAAAAATTTAATTTAAAATAAAAATTTATTTAGCGCAAATAAAATTTTTATTTAACTGAAATAAAATTTATTTGAAATATTTGGCTTTGTTTTATTTAAATATGACATCTTTTTTCTAAATATATTTATAAAACGATACATTTTTTTTAAATTAATATTTTTTAGGTTAAGTAAACAATTAAGGATAATTTCTAATAGGATCAGAATTTCTCAAAGGGATGACGTAAAATTTGCAGAAAGAAATTAAGTGGAGGCACCATCTTTATTTTGACCCTTTTAATTTTTAATGATCGCACAATAATATTTTTTTTTTCATTGAATCATTTGGATTCTAAAAACATACAAGGTCGTCATAGAAAGAAATTCTTAATTTTCGACCATTTTTACTATTTTTCATCGACAATTTTTTTACACAGTTTTTTTTTTGAAGATTCTTTAGAATCTTATGGATTTTCAAAAAAATTTTATTTAAAAAAAAAATGCAAATTCTAAAATGGTAAAAAATTAAGATTTATTTTTTGACCACCTTGTATGCTATTGGGACCTAAATGATGCAATAAAAAGAATATAAAATTGTGCAATCATTAAAATTTAAAGGGTTTAAAATAAAAGTGGTTCCTTTCCTTAATTTTTAATGTTAAATCGTTTTTCTTTACTTTAACTGTAATCAAAATAAGTTTCTAAAATTATTAGACCAAAAATATATTTTTTTTAAAGGTATAAAATATAAGCAATCAAAATTTTTAGCTGTTTTAAATAAATAAGTTTTTCTTGTATACTTGAAATTGCTTATATATATTTAGATTTCCTGCGTACACCTTTTTATAGTTTTTACGCTCTGTATACCCCATCTTTAACCCCACCTTTTTGAAAATCCCAAATTCCTCAAGTCCCCAAATTGCGGTCCGTAGCCGACTTTTATTAGAAGTATTCGCATTTGCCTGACCCTTTCTTGATCAGAGAAGAGGGAAACTACGGAAAACCTCTACTGAATACAGCCGGTTTATTTACTGTCGAGTCATGAATGTACATTAAAATAGTCATCCAAATGCACAAACATATCCTCGACGTCAAACCTCCCGCTTAGTATATCTCGATTGCAGCGAAAACACCAGGGCTATAGCGGGTACCGAGGCGGTCACCCATCCAAGTACTAACCGTGCTTGGATGTGCTTAACCTCGGCGACCGCAAGCCAAGACGCTTCACCGCCCGAGCTATACTATCGGTTCATTTGAAATTGCTTATATAATAACTATAAAATTTTCAAAAGTTTATAAACACTTTACCGCAACAGTAGAAACTAAAAACAAAATGAAACTAAATTAAAAATAATACTAATTAATAATGAAATAAATAAACAAATGTAACAATTTGTATGAAAGAAATAAATAATTCTAAATAAATAAATCTAAATAAATAAATTAAATAAATTACAATAGGGAAAAAATATATTATTACTAAATTTTGTCTTAATTTTCCATAATCTATAGAAGTTCAATTTTTTTCCCATTATTACTCTTACAATATGATTTCCACAGTCCGTAATACAAAATTATGTAGGTATATTTTCAATAAATTAAAGGCACAAGAAATCATGTGTTTGTCAACAAATAAAAAAAAATTATCGTTAAAAAAATATATGTTTGGGATGAGATTTCCGCTTCATCATTTTTTATTAGCCAATAAAGTAAACGATAAAAATGACTAATAGAAATCGTTGCGAGATTAAATAATAAAACTTTTCTCAAAATATATATATTTTATTTCTTCTTTTGCACATAATTAAATAAAAATAAAATATTAATGACAGATAAACTTAAAATATTAAAATAAATAGTGTAGAAAATATCAACATTTCTATCGTATAAAGAAAAACTAAGAAAATAATTTTAAAACAAGAGTTGATGAAAATAAAATTTCTAAAAATATATATATAAATAATTTCTCTCCAAATCTGAATTGGTATAGAATTTTTGTTTTGTCAATTTGAATACTTCAATATTTTAAACCCAAGAAGCACGTAATATATCCTCAATATCAAGGTAATATTACACGTGAGATTTGTAATATAACGCTGTAATATTACAGTAATCTTACAGTGATCTTAAAATGTCCGCCTCAAGGTAATATTACCGGGAATATTACTGTAATATTAACGGTAATATTACAGTAATATTACAGTAATATTACAGTAATATTACAGACTGATTTGAGTTATTCATAAAGCATAAAAAACGTAAATATATTATAAGTCAATTTGGCTTGTTGGTAAAACTCTGGACTCGTGTGCTTTGAGTTCGGGGTTCGATTCCCTGGATGGGTAGATTTTTTTCGTAGAGAAATGTTCCCATAATATTACTGTAATATTCTCTTGTAATATTACCTTAATATTACGGTATAATATTACTGTAATATTACCTTAATATTAGCGCGTAATATTACAGTAACATTACCGATAATATTACCTTGAGGCGGACATTTTAAGATCACTGTAAGATTACTGTAATATTACAACGTTATATTACGAATCTTACATGTAATATTACCTTGATATTGAGGTTATATTACGTGCTTCTTGGGAATAGATTTATCATCTCAACGGAGAACCTAATTTGAAAAAATGTTTGACTTCAAAAATAATTTATATAAATTTACTAAAAGAATATGCAATAAATAATTATTAAAAAAAAAAACGCTTTCTGAAGAAAAGGACTTTAGAAGCAAATGAATTATAGGTTATGTTTACAATATAGTTTTACATACTTACCTTGATTAAAAAGTTTCTTTTTTCTTTATATAAAATTAAAATCAGTTTTATCTGAATATTTTGAATGTAATGAATACTTAAATATCAATAATAATTTTTTATTGAGTGTTGATGTTATTTTAATTTAAAAATTTCAAAACATAACCTATAATTTTTTTCTCCTCGTCAGGTCCCTTTCTTCAGAGCGCGTCACATATGTAGAATTATTTTCTTAAAAATAACATTTTTGACGTAAAATATATATAAAATCTTATTCTAAAAATAATGAAAATATATAATTTATATATAATAGATATTAAAAAATAAAACAAGTGCGCGTATATATATATATTTCTATAAATTAATCTCGATGTAATTTAGAGAAAAGTCTTTCTAGTATAATATTATTGAACTGGATTACTTCTGACACTATAGACGATAATTCAATAAATTTATGAGCAAACAAGACTTCTCATTTGTAGAAATTGTAACAAGACTGTAATTATATAGTAGTTTTCTGTACTTCATTTGCATATGAAATAATCACATATATAGGACTTTTACTTTATATATATATATATATTTATATTTGAAACATGTGTGTTTCAGATAAATTTATCCTTTCAGACTTTGAAATAATTATATTTTCATATTTCTATAATATTATTTTTATTAATTAGGTATCATAATTGATTATTATTATATTAAATATTATTATTGTTATTATTATTTTTATACATAGCTGAAACTTCATTTTTAATTGAAGATACAAAAGTGACAAAAAAAGTTCAAAAGTTTAGAAAAAAGGAAAAATATCTAAATTAAAAGTATTTTAAAAACTAAAAGAATATAGGGTCAGTTGGGGTAAATGAGGACAAGAGGTGTTAAAGCTTAATTTACAGTTTTAAAATTAATTTCAACGTCAATATTTTAACCTCAGATCACCTACAAGAAGTTCTGAGTATTGCCAAGCTTTTATCTTGACAATTGACAGCAAGATAAAAAAAGTTATCGCTTAATATGCATAAAAACTTGAAAATCAAAGTCAAACTGTTTCAGTATTTTGTCGAGCATTTCAAAGAAAACAGACTTAAAAATCATACCAAATTTTTTTTCTTATTCCTTATGACTCCCATAACAGAAATTCACTTGAATTTTTGATTTTTGTCAATTTGGTTAATTATAACAACCTGTCCCCATTTACCCTTAGTTTTCTAATTTTTGGGGTAAATAAAGTCTTAAGGAAACTTTTTTCTTAAAACTTTCTTAGAAACCATGCTGTCCCCATTTACCCCAAATTTTAGGAAATTTTCTAAATCTTGGGGTAAATGGAGACAGTCAATTTCATGCGTTTAAAGCTTATCTAAATTTTTTTCTGCTACATAAAATTAATCCTGGGAATGTAAATAACAACTTAAAAAAAATAAACCCTCAAATATTACCTTTTAACCT